ATGAAATAAAACGAAAAGGCAAGATTACAGAAAAAAGAGTAAAAAGAATTGAACAAAGCTTGCAAGAAATACAGTTATGTTGAAAGACCAACTCTGCATTTGATAGGTGTATCTCAGTGTGACAGAGAGAATGAATCCAAGCTGGAAAACACTCTTCAGGATATTATCCAGGCTAATTTTTGTATTTTTAGTAAAGATGGGTTTTTGCCGTGTTGGCCAGGCTCCTCAGCTCAAGTGATCCACCTACCCTGGCCTCCCAAAATACTGGGATTACAGATGTGAGCCACCATGCCCAGGCAGAGGTCTTTACTTTGAGTTTTTAGTGATGTCCACTATCATTTTTTGTTAATAAAGCCATAGAATTTATAAGCTAGTGGTTAGAGATCTGAAAGATATTCCTTTCCTGTGGAACAGGACAAGATCTCAGGTATTTGATCAAGGAAAGTGATATGCCGCAAGCATATCATGTCAGTTTATAAATTGTATCAATGCCAGAACTGGATGAGCCAAACTTTGCTCTGTAAATAATGACTGATTATATCTCGTTGGCTGTAACATTAGAATGGTTTATGTCTTTTAAGTTTCCATGAAGAATTATTTAAATAATAGTTAATCTAATAATAAATTATTTCACCTATGACTATTTTGGTATCTGGAATGTTTCTTGATACAATGGCTGTGTTCTTTGTTTTCCTTGAATGTTTTATAAGCAGTGTAATATTTAAGACTAGTGTTAGCTTTTTATTTGAATTTCCTGAATGTGCAGCAAGGATTTTTAGAATCTTTATTACTAGATTCTATTTTTCTCTCCAGTTGTTGCTGTGTATAGAGTATTGTAGGTAGAAAAGAGATTGATTTGTAAATAATAGGTTAATCTGGCTAGACCAGCCATGTATAGGTCAAGCTGTTTGAGGGTGACGTGCTAACATTGTGGAGAGATTTTATTGTACTTTCATTTTATTGAGTTTAATTATACATGAAAACAAATGGAAGGTGTAAATGCATTTGGTTTTGTGGTGTCCCATTCAATGTGATGGTCATTTTTTTATATTAAGTGCCTACACTGAAAATATCGGGGAGAGAGATTTTAAATCTGTCTTTCTATGAATTTTACACAAATTTGCAATTTTACACAAAAGTGCAATGTAGCTATTCTTATTTGCAGTTCTTACCTATTTTGCCCTACCTGTCTGTTTCAGTTGTATTTGCGATCTAAAAATTAGGGTGCCAGTTTACTGTTGCCTGAGGATATATTATGATATTTAAAATATATATATATTTTTAAATTAAGCATATTTATTTATTATTTTTTCTGATACAAGCTCTTGCTTCATCACCCAGGCCAGAGTGCAGTGACCTGCACTTCAGTCTCGGCTCATTGAAGCTTCAACCTCCCAGGCTCAAGCAGTTCTTCTGCCTCAGCCTTCCAGTAGCTAGGACTACAGGTGCATACTACCACACCTGGCTTATGTTTGTATTTTTGTAGAAACAGGGTTTCACCATGTTGCCAAGGCTATTCTCAAATTCCTCACCTCAAGCAATTGCCCGCCTCTGCCTCCCAAAGTACTGAGATTATAGGCATGATCCACCACACCCAGCTTAAAATCTATTTCATAGTTGTAGTCAAATCTCATAGACTTAGGTGATCTTCTCATTTTTCTTCTGATCTGAATTGGGACAATGAATGATAGATCGATATTTGAATAGTTTCCTTCCATTTGGTGTTATTTTAGTAACCGTATTAATAGGTGGGACTTAATAAAATGTAAACCATTCAAGTTTTCCAAAGGATAAAATGTTATATGAAGATCTACCTTTGCTTTTTAACCATATGTCTTTGATACAAATCATGTACTTAGTAAATGTGTAGTTCTACTACAAATGATAGGAAAACAGAATGCTTTGTGTCAGTGTTGTTGTGTGTGTTTATTGCTGGTAGATGCATTTAGAAGGCATTACAAAAAAAGAGTGCTGAGAAAAGAATTGTCATTTTTGAAAACAGGAGTAAAAAGAAATTAAAAGGAACTATGCTATTGGGAGAGGCGCAATTGCTTTTTAATCCTAACTTCACAAAGATAAAATTGATAAAGCCTTTAAGTGACAACAGCCAATTAAAACTCAGTCTTTTAGTAAGGATCAAATCAAGGGCCTGACCTTCACATCCATTGATAAAACCTTATAATTGATCACGGCCCAGAATGAATTTCACCTATGGGTATGCTTGAAAGTTCTTTGAATTGGACAGAATAATTTATGGAAAAGAGTTCTGGCTCAAATCCTCGATGGGCCCAAAATTTCCATAATTAAGAAGAGAGATGGAAGAAAAAGGGAAAAAAAGATATAGCAGACCTAAGAATGTCTAGAAAACAACTGTGGATATAGCTGTTGGATTAAGGCTCTGACTAAAATAAAGTAGATGAGAAGCCTATTTATTAACTTTTTGAGAGAAATGCATATTTTAGTTTAGTAGATACATCACAGTTTTCTAAAATAGTTATACCAATTTACACTCTCACAGTGTATCAGGCTTTTAAATTTTAGTCTTGTGTGGGTTGTAGCAGCCTTTTAATTAGCATTTCCTTGATGTCTAATGAAGTCAAACGTATTTACTTATGTTTTCTCTGACCTTTTGTATTTGTGCATGTGTTTTGTATGTGTGTGTGTGTGTGTGTGAGTGAGAGAGAGAGAGATGTGTCTGTTCATGACTTGTTTTTGTTGTTTTGGTTGTCTGACATGCAGCACACTGTACTAATAGTAGTGACTGGAGGTGTACAGTTCAAAAAATTTATTAATTTTGTGTCTGTAGATAGATCCAGATTAAGATATAGAACATTTCCAGCAGCCCGTGAAAGTCCCTGTATTCATTCCCAGACCACCATTTGTCTTGCCAGCAGTAACCACAGTTCTCATTGTTATAAACATCAATTAGTTTTGCTTGATTTTGAACTTTATTTAAAAGTTTGAAGCTGGGCACAGTGGTCCATGCCTGTAATCTAAGCACTTTGGGAAGCTGAGATGGATGGATTGCTTGAGGCCAGGAGTTCAAAACCAGCCTGTGTTCAAACCTCCTTGAGTTCAAAACCTCCTTGAGGCCAGGAGTTCAAAACCAACATGGTAAAGCCCTGTCTCTACTAAAAATACAAAAAATTACCTGGGCTTGATGGCAGGCACCTGTAATCCCAGCTACTTGGGAGGCTGAGGCAGGAGAATCACTTGAACCTGGGAGGCTGAGGTTGCAGTGAGCCTAGATGGCACCACTACACTACAGCCCGAGCAAAAAATTTCCTACTTTGTGTCTAGTTTCTTTTACTTAAAATAATATGCCATGTCATTTATGTGTTTACGGCTGTCTTTTGCTCTTTTTCATTGTTACGCAGTGTTCCACTGCATGAACCATCATCCTAAAATGAGTGATCCAAAGGAAAGAGTCTATTCAGGAATAGTAGAGGACTGAAATCCAGGATACATGTGTCATAAGCAGACTAGAGGTACATCCAAGAGCATTGGGGAAAAGGGGAAACTTTTAAAGACAAAAAACAAGTCCACATAAAGCTGTATAAGACCATTGGCTACAGGAGCTTGTTGCAGAAGCTGATATCAGTTCATGGTAGAGACAGCCATTGCCAAGGCAAGTGTCTTTGTACAAGTAGCTTATCTGGTTTGAGGAATTTCCTGTGATAAGGTCTATTATAAGTGTACATGTAAGACATTTAGGAATTTCTTGTGATAAAGCTTGGTACCGGCATTCATATGTCAGGGCTCCTTCTTCCTGGCCTCCTGACTTCATTTGGTTAGTTTGACGTAAGTCAAATACGCCGTTTTGGTACTGCATCTCTAACAGAATATGCCACAATTTCTTCATGTATTCTCTTATTCATAGACTCTGAGATTGTTTACAGGTTTTGGCTATCAAGGTTAAACTAGCTGTGAATATTCATATGAACTTGAAAAGGAGATTATTCTTCTGTTATGAGTGTTTAAATATGTAGTTACCGATACAGCTTGTTTTGTTCATGTCTTCCACATCCTTTTGTATTTTCTGTACACTTGTTTTGTACTAAGTATGAGATTTTGATGTTTTCTCTTTGGTTTCTTTCTTTTTTGCATCTTTATTTCTTCTTGATTCTGTTTTATCGAAGAAGTTATTGTGTTGTTCCTTTATTGGGAATTGTAATCTTTAGATCATAAAGTGTTCCTTATGTCATGCTTTTAGGTCACAGTTCTCTCATATGTAATATCAGTATTACAATACTTACTTTCTCATTGTTCTCATTTGCCTTGAATACCTTTTTTATCACTTGTATTTTTAGCCTTTCTGATTCACTTTAATTGTGTTTCTATAAAATACAGTGTAGAGTTTTAATTTGAGTTTATTTTGAAATTTAAAATTTACCATTTAAAAAACAGGTAAGTTAAATCTATTTACTTTCATTGATATGGTTATGTGGTCTCTGACACATTACTTTATATACATTTATTGAGTGTGTTATATTTCCTTTGTTTCTTTCATAATCTATTAATAATATATTCCTTTTTTCACTCCTTTTTTTTGTATTTTGGGAGGTTTGTATTTTCATTTCAGAGGTTACTTTTATATTATTATTTATAATGCTTTTAATTTCCTTCATTCTCGTTTTACTTACTTAGGCTTCAACTGTTTGGATTTTCAGTTTAAATGACATGCTTTAATTCCAACCCACTCATTATTATCTTTTCTGTATTGCTGCCAAGAGGTCTGATACTGGTTTGATTTTTCTTCCTTTGCAAGTAATCTCTGAAGATTTGTTCTTATGTTCCCTACACTTAGATGGATTTTTTTAAAAAATCTTTAAAGACTAGTGATATGTTGCAGTATATCTCAGTTTAAGTATTTGTATCAGTTTTTCCAAGTTCTTTGTAGGCCTTTATAATGTATACATTTATATCTTCTTTTATTTCTGATTTTTTTTGTATATTACAACTTAATTAATTAATTTACTTTTTTTGTTTTTTTTTTTCAGACTGTCTCACTCTATCGCCAGACTTGAGTGCAGTGGCGCAATCCCGGCTCACTGCACCTTCTGTTTTCTGGTTTCAAGCAATTCTTCTGCCTCAGCCTCTACCAAGTAGCTGGGACTACAGACACGCACCACCATGCCCGGCTAATTTTTTTATTTTTAGTAGAGACAGGGTTTCACCACGTTGGCCAGGATGGTCTATCTCTTGACCTCATGATCCACCCACCTCAGCCTCCCAAAGTGCTGGGATTATAGGTGTGAGCCACCATACCCGGCTGGTCTTTTTTTAATACATACTTTAAGTTCTGGGGTACATGTGCAGAAAATGCAGATTTGTTACATAGGTATACACATGCGATGGGGGTTTGCTGTATCTGTCACCCCGTCATCTACATTAGGTATTTCTCCTAATGTTATTCCTCCCCTATCCCCCCACTCTCTGCTATCCCTCCCCTAGCTCCCCACCCCCTGACAGGCCACAGTGTATGATGTTCCCCTTCCTGTGTCCATGTGCTCATTGTTCAACACCCACTTATGAGTGAGAACATGCGGTGTTTGGTTTTCTGTTCTTGTGTCAGTTTGCTGAGAATGATGGTTTCCAGCTTTACTCATGTCCCTGCAAAGGACATGAGCTCATCCTTTTTAATGGCTGCATAGTATTCCATGGTGTGTATGTGCCACATTTTCTTTATCCAGTTTATCATTGATGGGCATTAGGGTTGGTTCCAAGTCTTTGCTATTGTGAACAGTGTTGCAATAAACATATGTGTGCATGTGTCTTTATAATAGAATGATTTATAATTTTTTGGGTATATAACAAAGGATTTTGGTATATATTTGCTGGATGAAATGGTATTTATATTTCTAGATCCTTGAGGAATCACCACACTGTCTTCCATAATGGTTGAACTAATTTACACTCCCACCAACAGTGTAAAAGTGTTCCTATTTCTCCACATCTTCTCCAGCATCTATTGTCTTCTGATTTTTTAGTGATCACCGTTCTAACTGGTGTGAGATGGTATTTCAATGTGGCTTTATTTGCATTTCTCTAATGACCAGTGATGATGAGCTTTTCTGCATAAATGTTTGTTGGCTGCATAAATGTCTTCTTTTGAGAAGTGTCTGTTCATATCCTTCACCCACTTTTTGATGGGGTTGTTTTATTTCTTGTAAATCTGTTTTAGTTCTCTGTAGATTTTGGATATTAGCCCTTTGTCAGATGTGTAGATTGCAAAAATTCCCATTCTGTTGGTTGCCAGTTTGCTCTAATGATAGTTTCTTTTCTTATGCAGAAGCTCTTTAGTTTAGTTAGATCTCATTTGTCTATTTTGACTTTCATTGCCATTGCTTTTGGTGTTTTAGTCATGAGCTGACATGCCCATCCCTATGTCCTGAATGGTATTGATTAGGTTTTTTTCTAGGGTTTCTATGGTGTTTGGTCTTATGTTTAAATATTTAATCCTTCTGGAGTTAATTTTTATACAAGGTGTAAGGAAGAGATCCAGTTTCAGCTTTCTGCATATGGCTAGCCGGTTTTTCCAACACCATTTATTAAATAGGGAATCCTTTACCCATTGCTTGTTTTTGTCAGGTTTGTCAAAGATCAGATGACTGTAGTAGATGTGTGGTTTTATTTCTGAGATCTCTGTTCTGTTCTATTGGTCTATATATTTGTTTTGGTACCAGTGCCAGTACCATGCTGTTTTGATTACTGTAGCTTTATAGTATAGTTTGAAGTCAGGTAGCATGATGCCTCCAGCTTTGTTCTTAACTGCTTAGGATTGTGTTGACTATGCAGACTCTTTTTTGGTTTCATATGAAGTTTAAGTTGTTTTTTCCCAATTCCGTGAAGAAAGTCAACAGTAGCTTGATGGGGATAGCATTGATTCTATAAATTACTTTGGGCAGTATGGCCATTTTCACGATACTGATTCTTCCTAACCATGAGTATGGAATGTTTTTCCATCTGTTTGTGTCCTCTTTTATTTCCTTGAGCAGTGGTTTGTAGTTCTCTTTGAAGAGGTCCTTCACATCCCTTGTTAGTTGTATTCCTAGATATTTTATTCTCTTTGTAGCAATTGTGAATGGGCGTTTACTCATCATTTGACTCTCTATCACTGGTGTATAGGAATGCTTGTGATTTCTGCACATTGATTTTGTATCCTGAGACTTTGCTCAATTTGTTTATCAACTTAAGGAGATTTTGGGCTGAGACAGTAGGGTCTTGTAAATATGCAATCATGTCGTCTGCAAATAGAGTCAATTTGACTTCCTCTTTTTCTAATTGAATACCCTCTATTTCTTCTCCTTGTCTGATTGCCCTGGCCAGAACTTCTAATACTATGTTGATTAGGGGTGGTGAGAGAGGACATCCTTGTCTTGTGCTGGTTTTCAAAGGGAATGCTTGCAGTTTTTACCCATTCTGTATGATATTGGCTGGGCTTTGTCATGAATATCTCTTATTATTTTGAGACAGGTTCCCTTGATACCTAGTTTATTGATTGTTTTTAGCATAAAGGGCTGTCGAATTTTGTCAAAGGCCTTGTCTGCATCAATTGAGATGATCATGTGGTTTTTGTCTTTGGTCCTGTTTGTATGATTGATTACATTTGTAGATTTGTGTATGTTGAACTAGCCTTGCATCCCTGGGATGAAGCTGACTTGATCGTGATTCTAGTCTCTGATAAAACAGATTTTAAACCAACAAGATCAAAAGAGACAAAGAAAGGTATTACATAATGGTAAAGGGATCAATGCAACAAGAAGAGCTAACTATCCTAAATATATGTACCCCAAATACAGGAGCACCCAGTTACATAAAGCAAGTTCTTAATGAACTACAAGGAGACTTAGACTCCCACGCAATAATAGTGGGAGAATTTTACACTCCACTGTCAATATTAAACACATAAATGAGTCAGAAAATTAACAAAGATATTCAGGACTCGAACTCAGATCTGGACTAAGTGGACATAAGACATCTACAGAACTCTCCACTCCAAATCCATGGAATATACATTCTTCTCAGCACCACATTGCACTTACTCTAAAGTTGACCATGTAATTGGAAGTAAAGCACTTCTCAGCAAATGCAAAAGAATGGAAATTATAACAAACAGTTTCTTGGACCACAGTGCTATCAAATTAGAACTCAGAATTAAGACACTCACTCAAAACCGCAAAACTTCATGGTAACTGAACAACCTGCTCCTGAATGACTACTGAGTAAATAATGAAATGAAGGCAGAAATAAAGATGTTCTTCAAAACCGATGAGAATGAAGATACAATGTACCAGAATCTCTAGGACACATTTAAAGCAGTGTCTAGAAGAAAATTTATAGCAGTACATGCTCACAAGAGAAATGAGGAAAGATCTAAAATCAACACCCTAACATCAAGATTAAAAGAAGTAGAGGAGCAATATCAAACAAATTCAAAAGCTAGCAGAAGACGAGAAATAACTAAGATCAGAGCAGAACTGAAGGAGATAGAGACACAACAAAACCCTTCGAAAAATCAATAAATCCAGGATTGGGTTTTTTGAAAAGATCGACAAAATAGATAGACCACTAGCCAGACTAATAAAGAAGAAAAGAGAGAAGAATCAAATAGATGGAATAAAAAATTATAAAGGGAATATCACTACCAATCCCACAGAAACAAATTACCATCAGAGAATACTAGAAACACCTCTATGCAAATAAACCAGTAAATCTCTAAGAAATGGATAAATTCCTGGACACTTATACCCTCCCAACACTAAACCAGGAAGAAGTTGAATCCCTGAGGAGACCAATTTCAAGATCTGAAATTGAAGCAGTAATTAATAGCATACCAATCAAAAAAGTCCAGGTCCAGATGGGCTCACAGCCGAATTCTACAAAGAGGAGCTGCTACCATTCCTTCTGAAACTATTTCAAACAGTCCTCCTGCCTCAGCCTCCCAAAGTGCTAAGATTACAAGCACAAGCCACCACACTCAGCTTACTTTATTTTTAATTTAAAAAAATGTTTTTATACAGATAAGGTCTTTCTGTGTTGCCCAGGCTGGTCTTGAATGCCTGAGCTCAAGCAATTTTCCTGCCTCAGCTTCCCAAACTGTTGGGATTATAGGCATGAACCACTACAGCTAACCAGTGTTATAAATTTAAATATTAGTTTTACTCCATTATTTTGTTTTCTTATTTAGGCTTTACAATTTTATATGTGTTAGACCCTTTTCCTCTTTCTTCTGTATTAATACTTTTCCCCTGATTTTTCTTTTTTACTTTTTCTTTTCTTTTTTTTTTTTTTTTGGTAGAGATGGGATCTGATTATGTTTTTCAGGCTGATCGTTTTTTTTGAGATGGAGTTTCGCTCTTATTACCCAGGCTGGAGTGCAATGGCGCGATCTCGGCTCACCGCAACCTCTGCCTCCTGGGTTCACGCAATTCTCCCGCCTCAGCCTCCTGAGTAGCTGGGATTACAGGCACGCGCCACCATGCCCAGCTAATTTTTTGTATTTTTAGTAGAGACGGGGTTTCACCATGTTGACCAGGATGGTCTAGATCTCTTGACCTCGTGATCCACCTCCCTCGGCCTCCCAAAGTGCTGGAATTACAGGCGTGAGCCACCGCGCCTGGCCCCAGGCTGATCTTAAACTCCTAGTCTCCAGCAATCCTCCTGCCTTAGCCTCCCAAAGTCCTGGGATTACCGGCTTAAACCACCATTCTTGGCCATTTTCCTGATTCTTACTACTCTCCTTTATTTATTTTTTTATTTTTTATTTTTTTTGAGACGGAGTTTCGCTCTTGTTACCCAGGCTGGAGTGCAATGGCGCAATCTCGGCTCACCGCAACCTCCGCCCCCTGGGTTCAGGCAATTCTCCTGCCTCAGCCTCCTGAGTAGCTGGGATTACAGGCACACGCCACCATGCCCAGCTAATTTTTTTAATTTTTAGTAGAGACGGGGTTTCACCATGTTGACCAGGATGGTCTCGATCTCTTGACCTCGTGATCCACCCGCCTCGGCCTCCCAGAGTGCTGGGATTACAGGCTTGAGCCACCGCGCCCGGCCTACTCTCCTTTATTTTGTTTTATTCTCTTGGCTGCTTTCATGGCTATGTTCAATGATACTTATTTTCAGTCTTGCCCTCTCTTGGGGACTTTATAATTTATTTTTCATTTCTAAAATAGTTTTTCTTTCTTTCTTTCTTCTTCTTTTTTTTTTTTTTTTTTGGTACAGTCTTGCTTTTTTACCCAGGCTGGAGTGCAGTGGCATGATCAGGGCTCACTGCAGCTTTGACATCCTGGGTTCAAGTGATCCTCCTTCCTCAACCTCGTGAGTAGCTAGGACAAAAGGCACATGTCATCACACATCGCTAATTAAGAAAATTTTGTCTTGTTGATGAAGAGAGGGGTTCTCACTGTATTGCCCTGGGTAGTCTTGAACTCCTGGGTTCAAGTGATCTACCTGCCTTGGCTTTGCAAAGTCCTGGGATTACAAGCATGAGCCACTGTACTTGGCCATTTTTGTCTTTTTTAATCTTAATTTTTTGGATATGAAACCAGTTGCATATTATTTTAAATATTTCTTTTGCCTATTATTATTAGTTATTTTTATTATTATTTTTTTTTTTTTGGAGGCAGTCTTGCTCTGTTGCCCAGGCTGGAGTGCGATGGCATGATCTCAATTCAGTGCATCCTCCACCTCCTGGGTTCAAGTGATTTTCCTGCCTCAGCCTCCCCGGTAGCTGCAGTCCCAAGTGCATACTACCACACCAGCTAATTTTTGTATTTTTAGTAGAGATGGAGTTTCACCATGTTGGCCAGGCTGGTCTTGAACTCCTGACCTCAAGTGATCTATCTGCCTCAGCCTCCCAGAATGCTGGGATTACAGGCATGAGCCACCACACCTGGCCAGACTTTTGACATTTTTTAAACTGATTTGTTGAATGTTTGATTTAAGAGGGTTAAAAAAAATCTGTAAATACTTATTTAACAACATAGAATTCAGGTTGAGATATTTTTGTAGTTTTCTCTGCTTTATTTTTTTTTTTTGAGGGGGGTGTTTATCAGCTGAAACATTCTTGTTTTCATTTTCTTTATTTTATAGTTGTTGCCTGTTGTTTCTGATCAGGTTTGAAAATTTTATTTTTCTTAAAAAGCAATAATAATTTATATACAAAAGAGAGAGATTACAAGATGTCTTAGTTCGAAAACATCCTGTTCTTTTACTAAAGTTAAGTGCAGTTTCTTTAACCTACCTTGTGTGTTTTTTGTGGTTCTTGTTTTTGGTTTTCTTGGAAGGAGATTTGGTGTTTCTCTGATTTTATGATTATGTTTTATTTTAATTATTTTTTTTGAGACAGGGTCTCTCTGTCACTCAGGCTGGAGTGTGGCAGGGTGAACATGGCTCACTACAGCCTCGACCTCCTGGGCTCAAGTGATCTTCCCACCTCAGCCTCCCAAGTATCTGGGACCAAAGGTGCATGACCTTGTGCTTGTCTAATTATTACTACTTTATAAAAATTTTTGCAGAGACAGGGTCTCACCATGTTGCTCAGGCTGGTCTCAAACTCCTGGTCCCAGGCAATCCTGCCTCAGCCTCCCATAGTGCTAGGATTATTTGTTCTTTATCATCATACATCTAAGGAATACCACTTCTAAGTCACAGTCCTCTCCTGGAGAAGTGGTTTTTTCTCCCAACAATGTTACTTCTCCTTATTGTAATTCGAAGTTCCTTCCTTTTGATGCTATAGTAATCAGCACTCTGACCTAACAGGTCTCAGGCCAAATTTTAGGATTTCTATACTTTCCGGGCTTATTTTATCTGTATTTTACTTCCCTGCTTCCCTCTCCCGTTTTCCACATAGTGTCTATCTTGTATTTTTCTGTCATGGGCTCTAGAGACAGCTCCTGGATTTTAGTGTTCAATTTTCTACTTACATGTTGTGAGACACAGTAACAAATGTAAGAAACCATGTTTGCTCATTCTGCTCGCCAGAAGAATTTCACAAAGGCTCTGACTCAGTGACTGAGGGCAGCCCTCTGGAAGAATGCCTTGGAGACTCTAAGCAGGATTCACAGGTTCCCACATCTCTTTATGGAATCATTGCATTTTTATTTTTAATATAAAGTCAATGATCCTAACCCTTGCCTCTTCCTATATATAAGATAAATTCTGAGCGATTTGTGACTATGCTTCTGTAATCTGTAACAAGATGTACTCTTACACCCAAACTTCAGTGGCACTTTGCTCTAATGTAACTTCTGAGCATGTTTAATGTAACTTCTGAGCAGATGGAGAACTGCTACCCCCTGATAAACAAGCTGTGGGCTGAAATACTGCTTTGGAATCTCTTTGAAAGATTCTCCTGGGTTAGAGTCTTCAGTAAGGCTGAATAAAACTAAATTTTCTTTTTTAAAAGCTTGATTTTTTTTCCTTTAGTTGATAATCCATTTGAAGTTTGTACTATTCTGTGCCTCTTAGTTATGCTGTAGACATGGATTATGAAGGTTTTTTCAGTTAATTTTTATTTTTTCTTTCAGCAATACCAATATAGCCTCATTACTTCATTATTTTTAAAGTTTTAAGGAGGGTATGTGGAGACACTTGCATTTAGACGGTTGCCTTTTTTTTTTTTTTAGGAGAAACTATTGTTCTCTTATGTTTTCTTGAACATATTAGTCGAAGATATTTAAAGTCCAGATCTGATAATTTTAACACCTGTGTCTCCTTTAGGTCTGTCTCTTTAATTTTTTCCTTCTTCTTACAGATTTGTTTCCTGGTATGCCTAGTAACTGTCAGTTGAATGTCAGGTACTAATTTTTTCCAAAGAGAGTTTATTTTTGCTTCTGACAGGTAGGTAGAATAGAGACAATTTAACAGTATAGTCAGGGATTGCAATGATACATAGTTGGGTTTCATTCTACAGATACATTTCTGGTTTATCATTAGCAGTTCCCTAATTTCCAGCTTTTTCTTCCTAGTCTGTGATACTGCTAACAGCTCTGCTTAGCTTCCCAGCTTCTTGAAAATTGGCAAATGACTTGAGTAAACCCATGCTGAAAGTTGAGGCTATTTCTCTGTACTTCTCTTTTGTTCAGCATCTTATACCCTTGAGTCTTGGCTGCTTTAGTAACTCTCTCATCCCTTTATGTAGGTGTTTTCTGTATTTTATCTAGTTTTTCTTATTGGAAGGGTCAGTATGTTGTAAACTAATCTTCCATAACCTCTCCAGTGAGTTTTTATTTTCAATTAGTATGTATTTAATTTGTTCAAATGTCTTTCAAACCTTGTAGATCATTTATTTTTAATTTTCTTTCTGTGGAGGTATTTTCCCACTGCAAAAAATTATTGAAAATATATTAGCATGGTTATTTTATAATCTATATTTGATAATCCTAGTAAACAAAGTCCTTGCAGGTTTGTTTTAGCTGGTTCTTTTTTATGGTGCTGTGTTTTCTTGTGTACTGTGTTTAATAGTTTGTTCTACAGATAACATTGGTGTTTGCTGCAGTCTGGCACCCAGGAACATTACTAGTTGGGCACCACTTTATGTTTATTTATTTGTCAGGGGGACTGATATTTGTGATGTGAATTTGGATTGTATCTCTTTGAGTGCCCATTTGTGATTATGAGTTCCTGTGGTTTTGTGCTTTCCCCTGCTTTGCTTATTATCAAGGCAACTTTCATTTTAGTCCCCTAGGTCCAGACTTCCCATCATCTTTACGTTGACGGGATAACTCTTTGATGTCCCAGTTTCTTGGGAGAATAGTCTCCTGTTAGACTTTTAGGTGGTGTTTGTTTGTTTGTTTGTTTTTATTTAATTTTTTTTGAGACAGAGTCTATGTTACTTAGGCTGAAGTGCAGTGGTGCCATCTAGGCTCACTGCAACCTCTGCCTCTCAGGTTCAAGCCATTCTCCTGCCTCTACCTCCCAATTAGCTGGGATTACAGGTGTCTGCCACCACACCTGGCTAATTTTTGTATTTTTAGTAGCAACAAGGTTCCAGCATGTTGGCCAGGCTGATCTGGAGCTTCTGACCTCAGGTGATCCACCCGATTCTGCCTTCCAAAGTGCTGAGATTACAGGCATGAGCTACCTTGCTTGGCCCTATTTTTGTTTTCTGTTCATTTCAAATAAGATCTGTAAGTCTAAAGATTTTCTCAGAATGGCTGATCAGCTATCCTCAGTGCAGAGACAGATTTGACATTT